TTGAAAGAGCAAATCTTTTTCTTTATGGAATCGTCTAAACGATTTCCTAATGGGGATACATTGCATAGTTAGAAGCGGTAGAAAAAATACTCAATTTTTGAATTTTTCGTGCAGGGTCATAAAAAATCCGAAACTTGCAGTAAAAATCGGAGCTGTCAGTATTATAAGTTCTATTACCTGCTCTTTCTAACTGTGCGAAGTTTGTGTTGATTCAGCGTCTCTATGAAAGATTATGATCAGGGTCAAGCGTGGGGTGCGGCACGCCACACCTGGGGGGTCGTATTGAGGAGTCAAAAGGGGAGGGGGTCGTAGTTGGGTAATCTGATAATAGTGATAACATGATATTCGTATCCTATCCATAATTAGCATGTTAAATAACCCTTGTAGACAAAGTGTGACGAATTCTGAAGATTCAAGATACTAGGCTACCTAAGTGAAATGGATTCCAACATGGTTAACTTTGTTTCAAAGGTGAATTAGCTATCCGTTTTTACACTCAAAACAACCTGTGGAATTAGAAGCCAACCAAAATCTCGTTTTTCCCATTTTAGCTTTTGATCGCTGTGCTTTCACCAAATATTACTCAGAGCTAAGAAGACGAATCAGGCTCCAAACAGTCCTATGGAATCTACAAGGTTTAGGCTATCGATTCATATAAATACTGTCCGCTAAAATTGGTTTTTTTGATATAGTTAATGGGGTGCGCTTCCCCCCCCCCTTCTCAAAAGCTGCGGCTGCCGCAGCTTTTAGGGGGGGGGGGGTGCCGCACCACATTAACTTACCCTTAAAGCCGTTGAATGTCTACGATTTTAATGTCGTTGCTACCGCTTGACCTTCTTCTCTCTATAGTACGATTTTCATCCAAAACTTTCCCGCACAGAATGAGATATAGCGCTTCTTCTACTGACTACCATCCATCATGCGGCTTCCAAAATATCGGATTACGGTAGCACGCAAATTCATCTTGCCGCCTTTCTGCGTTAATGCGTAAACAATGCAGAAAGGCGGCAAGCTAAATAATTCGGATGCCTTCCATTGTTTTGCGACAGTTTTAGAATTTGTACTTATTTTCGTCGGTTTCCTTATATGAGGCCTTTCTTTCAGACACCGAGACCTTTTAAGGATAATGGGACGACAAATCTACAGTCTGGTTTTTGATTCCTCCCAAAAATGGAATGGCGCTTACAGCTTGGTTTTCCATAAATAGAGGGATCTTTTTTTGTTTCATGCAATCTGACATTCGAAAGAGTAAGTTTTTCTTCGCACAAAACTAGCTGTGCTTTGGGCAAGCTATATTGTGTGCTTTTTATGTGTTATTTCTCGATGCGATATAGTTTCGAAATGCACTAATGCGGCAATTTCCCCCATCTCTTTCATAAACGGTTTCGATTTGTTTTATCCAAAGGCTTTTTCTTTTCCTAGCTCTTTTGTGAGCCGAAAACTAGTATACTTTCGCAAGATTGCAACTCTGTTCTACTAGTTTTATGCATCTTGGAGTGGCTTGTAATGTAAAGAGCCTATACGTTACCTGATGCATAACTTTAGTGTAAGTGCGTATAGTCTGGACCTTGTCTTTACTTGTTATATGGAAAAAAAGCGAGTTCTTCAATTTTTGTCAGACTCACGAAATTTTAGTTATATATCTCGAAGACAGTACTATAGAGGCTTTTTGCTTAGCAGCGTGAATCTTTCGAAAATGCAACTCTGGTATTGGAGGGGGGGGGGGTCGTTTTCGAGGCAACTCAGGGAGGGGGGGGGTCGTATTCGGCCGTTCAGTGCCACACCTCTTGCTCTACCCTGATTATGATTTTCGAGGCAAAAAACGAAATAAATCAAGTTCGCCCTTTTGTATTACTTGCTCGAAAATCATAACTTTTCATAGAGACGCTGAATCAACACAAACTTCGCGCAATTATAAAGAGCAGGTAATAGAACCTATAATACTGACAGCTCCGATTTTTACTGCAAGTTTCGGATTTTTTATGACCATGTGCCGCCAGCGACAACAAGTGAACAAGTAATGCGAGGTTTGCAAGATACCGTACTCTCATACTTGCAAACTTTACTTCAGGCTATTAAAAACAGCGCGACCGAGTGACTCAAGGCGGCAGCTGCACCAGATGGCAACGACGATCCCGACCATGAGGAACTTCATTTGGATGCTTTACTAGTTGGATCTTCTTTATTATGAAAGCTGAATTCCCAAAAATTGACAAAATATCATTAATTCACTCTTATCGCATATATACTTTGTGTAGTTCTCATTCCTCTGTGTCATTATTTTGGCATCTCACCATCTATTGTTATGTAGTTGTAGATATATGTTGCGTTATTTGTTTATTGTTTGTTTACCTTTAGTAAACGGTTTAATTACCCAAGTTTGAGTTGAGGTACGCATCGATCCGAGTCAGCCCGCGTGGCATCTATTATTACCGTTGGTAGTAGAAGATTATCGTTCTAAATATATACCGTAACCTTCAACTCAATTGGTGCATCGGCCGACTTGGGTATTCCTATCAGCATACCTCTATCAGCCTATATCAGCTACTCAGCATACCTCAATTGGTGCATCGGACAAGTGCTTATCAAGCGAACAAGACAAGAGGTTGGTTACACAAGTTTAGTAACAACTTCTTGCAACAAGCTAAATTGTGTTTATTCTTCGCAATCGCAGTCTTCAACTCGCTTTCCGCCAGACAAGTCCAAATTCAACATTTACATTGCATTTTGGCACATTTTTCACGCTTTACTGCGCAAAATAAGTCAATTTGCATTCATTGCTTCATTACAAGCCGAACCTACGATTGATCAGCATTTTGGGAATATCAGTTCGCACTACTAATTTCCCATCAATCGCACAAACAAGTCAACGTCTTCGCGCACTACTCACAATAGCACGTCGCATCTTTGTTTCGAGCGGTCAACATGTCAGCGCAATTATCGACTTACAAGCGTTTCCTATCAAAGTACGCGACGAAGCTTAAAACTGTCCTCACGCGCTTCAAAAATGAGGGACTAGAGACAATAAAATTTCCTGATGAAGAGGCAACATCACTTAGCATAAATGAAAATCAGAAACTGTTACAAGAAGGAATAGGGGCAATTGAGACTTGCAACGCCAAAATACGAGAAACTTTGCAAAACTACGCGATAGCGCTAGACAAGAATGGATCATTAAGCGAAAAAAGAATTAGATGATTTCGAACTGTACTCGAACAAGGTAGAAACGGTACTTTCTTCTTCTCTGGATTATATTGTACTCTTGAAAGGTAGATTGAACGCATTTACGTCATATCAGGGAGCAGAGCGACGCGCATAACAAGCAACAATAACGCTGATTCAGAGGGGATAGGGGTCAAGAAAATCGAACTACCAACACTTCCAATACCAACATTTTATGGAGATATATGGGAGTGGGATAATTTTTGGACCCTATTCAACACAAACGTAAATTCGCAACCTTTACCTGACCTCTACAAGTTCAACTATTTGATCAAGGCCCTACTCAGACACTCGCTGTTGACTCGCGCAGCCCAAAGTTTTGTGTAAGCGCTGAATGAAGGCGCGACACAACTAATCGGCCTCGCGACGAAATCCCGAGACAGCAATATGTGTCGGAACAATGCTGCCCTAGACAACCCTTTGACGCGACCCGCATCTTGCAGGAAATACGCGGCAGCTCGAGGGCGACACATCCTGATGTCCGGACGCAACTGGAGCGCGTTATCTCGCAGCAGTAATATCGCTAAATCCCTACTTGCAGTACATTACATATATGTATATACTTATATGTGTATGTACAAATATACATTATATATATTTATATATATACATATATACAAATGTAATATATATATGTATATATGTACACGTATATATATGAATTCCACAAAGTGTAAACTACCCAATTTATTACTTCTAAAATGACATAATGATTGATTGGAAACTTTATTAGCACATAGTACTACTTCACTTCGATCTTAGGAACATTTCAATGTTAGAGTTATGTTCAATGTAGCCACGCAAGAAAATCAAATAAGAACTTCGGGGGAGTCAAACTACTATGTTTACTATCTTAAAGCTTCACAACATGGAGATACATGATGAGATGGAAGTGTACTAGGTAACCGTTTAAACAATGAGAATCTCGGAATGCAAATAAGTGATACGCAAAAGCGAGAGTAGAGTTAAGGCAGATGTTATGATAGTGATATGTAAGTATAGCAGACTAGCTGATGACCCGGTCTCGCCCGAGACTTTTAGTTCAACCAAGATGAGGTAGGGCAACGAAATCCGCCAGTTTGAAACATCTTCGCGGACTACTGGTCCTGCAACCACAGACAACAATATTTGAAAAGGACCAGTTGCCAGCAAAGGCCGGCTCAAACTGGCGGAGTTCGTTCCCCTATCCACCAAAATGTCATCGGCTTCCAGATTCGGATAGAGGAGGGTTGCACACTTCCTTAATTTTCAGAACAAACTTGTTAAACACTGTTTAAACACTGTTTTAACACTGTATTTCGTACTTTCTCGTTGAGCTTTCCTTAAAACCGGTGAAGTCCGCAGCCCGCCCCCATACGAATCTGGAAGCTGATCATACTCACACTTTCTAACTTCTGCAATGCGCAAAAAGCGCTTTGAGACGAATCCGCTGCATGCTGTCGACCTTGAGATCAGAATGAACTTTACTACCCCTACTTACATGTTTATTGGAAAATGATTGTTTGGAGCACGTCTAACTTTCATTTTCCCAGATATAAGTAAACAAATCAATAAATCAATAGAAGGACCCTGCGAATCGCCTCAAAAAGTAGCCATAAACCACCGCCGGGGCCGAAAACCTATGTGTGCGAAGTTTCAGCTCAATCGGTTCAATGGCTGGCGTTTCTATAACGAACGAACAACTAAACGAACATCCTCACAGACATTGAGTTTTATATATATATAGATTAGAAAAAAGTAGTAGCAGATGGGCTAAAACTCGTCGGGACTGGTTTTTTCTATTCCTTGGCAGCAGAAGAGCTGTTTGCCGTAGTCTCGATCAAACGCTTCTTCTGAAAAGAAAAAACCATGTCGACGAAGACTGGGAATAAGTGCACTGGCATCTTATCTTTGGAGGAAGGAGTTTAGCTCTTACCGGATTCAGTACATAAGCCCGTACATCTCTCCTGCAAAACGCAAGATGGAATGTCCATCTGCCTTATCAATACTCGAATAGCTTACAAGGCTCTTCCGAGGGCTATGCGAGCGAAGACCGCCCAATCCATCCTGGCCTGTGAGAGCATGTCGAAGGCTTTTGATCGCTCCCTGTCGTCCTTTCCAAGATTTGTCCACCATCTAAATCAATGAAAAATAATAATGCAAACTTAGGATTCGATTTCTAGAGAAGAAGCTTCGATTGGATTTCAAATAAAGTTAATTTTGGATTGGAATGAAATAATGGAAAGAAGAGGGCTTAGGTGGGATGGATGGAATGCACGAATTTTGAAAATAGGTAGCAAAAAAAAACCTGGAATGATGCATTATGAGCCGAGATTTGAAATGCGCGTCGATATTGCGAAACTGCTCGCTGAGTCACTCATCATCTCCGATTTTCTTTCGCGACCATCCGCAAAAACTGTCAAAATATTGTCTCGCGCATGTCTACGCCCTTTCTCGCGAATCCCTCAAAAAGGGGCGGATCTCCGGCGCGAGTCAACAGCGAGTGTCTGAGTAAGAGGAGAACCCCTTCAAGCAGTGAAGAAATTCAGGGTGTCACAACACAATTATAAAAAAGCGGTAATTTTCCTGAAAACGAAATCCGGGGACAAAGAACAATTGATAAATCGACTGTACGAGAGGCTAGAAAAATTACACTCGAACTCACCATCCATTAGAGATCAACGGAAACTTCTGGACGATAGTGGCACAATTACAAGAAAAAAATGAACATGTCGACAACCAGTGCATGATCAAACATATCCTTTCAAAGTTTCCGAACAAATTGCAAAGAAAAGTGTTAGAACGCAAATATACACAGACAGAAAACACCTTTGGCATGGAAATACTTTTCAAGCTTCTCGAAGAATTCATCACTACGGAAGAAAAGGTGTCACTTTTTACAGGAGAAGTGACTCCTAAACAGCATCCTGTATCCCCGGCATTTCCTAAAGGGAAGGAAGAATCAACCCGATGGATCAACAGCTGCATGTACTGTGGAGAAGATCATAAAGCCATAGCATGCACCAAATACACAACACCCCAATCCCGCGCACATATCTACGAGAGCACAAACTTTGTTTTATTTGTGCATCTCCAGAACACATAACCACGGAGTGTAATAAACGGATGTGTTTTGTGTGTCAAGGACCCCACCACACTTCATGCTGCTTTAAGAAGGGACAAGCGAACGAAGACATGCCCAACGCGTAAAGCCCCTACCCACAACCCAAACAACAGAAGAGCCCCTACCCACAACCCAAACAACAGAGGAGCCCCCACCCACAACCCAAAGAACACAAAAGCCCCCACCCACCACAACTCAAATCGACAACATCCACTTCAACACAAGTCCACCAGACAAGTGAAGAAGCGGGAAAGAAACAGGAATGGACCGCCGTATGTGAGCTGCATTCGTTCAAGCACCTAAAACCAACCCAACATATCTCCCAACGGGACAACTTCTAGTGATGGATCCAAACACCAAAAAATTTGCGCAAAATCCCGGTCTTGTTGGACACAGAAGCAGAACTATCCTTCATCGACACAAGTCTAGCAGAAAAACTGCACCTGCCAACGATAAAAACAACTAAACTTCGCTTGAGTACCTTTGGGTCGGATAAGGTAAACGAAAGCCTGAGTCGTAAGGTGGAACTGGACGCATGGGATGCAGAAGGAAACGTTTACCAGCTACAATTACTCACGTACAATACCCTCACAAAGCCGTTAAAGACACCACCGCTGTTAGACGAGGATATAGGCTTCATGCAATCCCTGAACTTAAACGTCTTGGCAACTACTTAAGATAGCAAACCGCTGATCCTATTAGGATGCGACCAACTGTGACAACTCGTAAAAGAAGGGACGGCATACATCCGGCTGCCATCAGGCCTCCACCTTTTACCCACGAAATTAGGACACCTGCTCACCGGACAAATGCACCAAGAAGGTCAAGTCACGCAGGTCAAAGAGGATGATAAGGAACTAGAAATTTGGGACAAATACTGGTCACTAGAATCACAAGTCAATGGAGTGGTGGAAGAAATAAGTGTGAAGAAAGACTTCAAGCAAGGGAAAACCAGCAACGCATCTGAAAATAAGAAGCGGCCCATGATAAGAGCAAGATCAAGCGTGCCAAAACAAACGGAAATGAAATCAACAAAAATCGCAGCAGCGCATAAGGACAAGACATGTACTAATTTCAGAAAAATGGCGCAATCGACGGACAAGTTTGATGATCTGATCTCCATCGCCAAGAACAAGATATCAAAATCCCTTCTGCTGGGATACCTGGTAACAGCGAAGGAAGAACTCAATAATCAAGTTAAAATATGTAACACGTTTAGAGAAGATTGGGATCACACTAAGCAACAGTGATCAAAGACATAAAAAGATCTGCGAAACAAGATTACTACTCTATCAAATCTACTCCGCGCCGCGACCCTAGCGAGAGAGAGCTACACCAAGCTCTGTACTCACTACATTCTTCTCGCCAAATGGCTAGGGTCTTCCTCACCAGCACCGAACGAGTCGGAACAAGAGTGGATCAACGACGAGTTGCTACAAAACATGAAAATTACGAACAAGCAAATGTCCACACTCGTCAACGAGCTGGAGAAAGAGTCAGACATGGTCGAGAACCTCTACAAAGGTAGCATCAGGATTCGACAAGTACAACGGCAGGAAGTGAAGAAAGACGCACCAAAACAGATCAAGAACGAGGAAAGAACGGTTGAAGAGATGGACCTGAAGGTGCCCAGGCTGGCTGATGACGAAAAGCAAATTGCAGTAGAACCATTAGTCCTACAAGAGCAAAGCGCGACGATGAATGACGAACTGCAAGATAAACTAACGCAACATCGCCAACTAAGACAGGACATTGAAGAAATTGAGAAGGCACTGGATGCTTTGCCTCTACGACAACTTGGGGACGTGAAAGGAGGAACCCATGTGCAAGTAACTTGTGCTTTCTGTTATGAGAAAAACAAGCATTACTCGGACTCCTGTCCCCATATAATCGATGGAGACGACAGATTTCGGATAGCTCAACAAAAGGGTTTGTGCATTCGATGTCTCCACCACTGCGCACCCGGTAAATGCCACTTCTCCCGGAGATCCTGTTTTTATTGCAGAAGAGTGCAAGGCACGATTGCCGAGAAGCTTCGACCTCGCGATAGCGGACATCACAAAGCCCTGTGCAGCGTACCAAATTTTGAAGACATGCTTCGACAAAAAGAACTGGATGCAAGGAATGAGTACCAGGAACTCGAACAAGAGATCCAGCGACTACAGAAGAGAAAAGGTCCTCGCAAACAAGCCAACACCAAGCAAAGGGTCGTGGCGAACAACTAGGCCAGCGGCAGTGTCGCCAGCGACAAGAAATTTAGCAGTTACAAAAGAGACAAGCTGGCGTAGAACAAGTGCTTCCTCCCGCGAGACGCCAGGAACAACACTAAAACGGGCGGCAGTGTCGCCAGCGACAACAAGTGAACAAGTAATGCGAGGTTTGCAAGATACCGTACTCTCATACTTGCAAACTTTACTTCAGGCTATTAAAAACAGCGCGACCGAGTGACTCAAGGCGGCAGCTGCACCAGATGGCAACGACGATCCCGACCATGAGGAACTTCATTTGGATGCTTTACTAGTTTGATCTTCTTTATTATGAAAGCTGAATTCCCAAAAATTGACAAAATATCATTAATTCACTCTTATCGCATATATACTTTGTGTAGTTCTCATTCCTCTGTGTCATTATTTTGGCATCTCACCATCTATTGTTATGTAGTTGTAGATATATGTTGCGTTATTTGTTTATTGTTTGTTTACCTTTAGTAAACGGTTTAATTACCCAAGTTTGAGTTGAGGTACGCATCGATCCGAGTCAGCCCGCGTGGCATCTATCATTACCGTTGGTAGTAGAAGATTATCGTTCTAAATATATACCGTAAGCCTCAACTCACCCTGCACGAAATTTTCAAAAATTGAGTAATTTTTTCCTACTGTGATCTGCTTTGCCAAGTATTCCGCACATGGCAAATATTGCAGCAACGAAGTGATATCGGATATGACGAAAACGAACTATCAGGACAAGAGAAAGAAATCTACGAAAACCTTGGAAGGATAATGTACTCGTTGGAAAGCTTGTGTATTTTCCATTAGGCAATGTTAACTTGAATACCATTCTTATTATATGTTTTATGTGACTGTGTATGTTTACATCCATTAGTAGAAATATATATAAGAGACTATGTCATAAGGACGGAAGCGCAACATCTGCCATACTTGAAGGTCAAAATTAACTCGGTCACAGCGTTATTGGATAGTGGAGCAACTATATCATACATATCATAAATGAAGGCATTAAGTTCATTACTAATTGTAGGTACAAAATCTCCCACGGGAGCAACAAGGACAGCAACAACTGCTAATGGCTTGTCTCCATCACAAAACCATACGGAAAGGACCAGAAGATATAGACCTCGTGCCGATCAATTATATCACGCGCTTGCAGACATATCACCGAATGAGGTACGGCTGGACGGACTAATAACATAGTGGAGGCTCATGTATCGATGGACTCATGGCCAGATGTAAAGACTTCCTTATTGAAGATAATTTGCGACCAATGGATGACAACTTTGTCATCAGCCAAGCTCTCGTCAAGCCGAATTCGGACGAGACTTGTTCCATTCACATCCTAAACCCGTCAAAGGCTAGTATCTCGCTCCGACGGAGCTTCAAAAGAGCGATCGCATATCCTGCATGCCCATCAGAAGTTTCAGTGCAGCAATTAGAAATTCATCTCATAAGTCTTCGAGAGACCTGTTTCACCCCTCTGTTGCTTATGTCAAAGATATCCCTTTGGACTACAGTACAAATGACGACTTTAAAATCTCACCAAAAGCAGATTGGAAAATCCGGTTGCCTTTTCCAGTTTACCAGAACCTCAGAACTATGACATCGCGAACGAGATCGATCTGTACCGCTACTTAACGAAGGAACACAAAGATCAATTGGGAGACATCATCAGATATCATAGTAACGCTTTCGTTGGACCAGATGGGCATCATGGACATTGTAGAGGAAATATTCGCTATCAATTGAATCTTGTCAAAAATGCAACAATAGGAAGATCTATCGAGCGCATCTTGAAAAACTCCAGGAAATAGAGAGGCAGATATCAAATGGTGAAAGATGGGATAATCAGGAAATCTACATCTCCATTCTGTGGGCCGATCGTTTGGTGAAGAAGCATGAAGCAAACACTTGGCGCTTCACAATCGACTTTCGCGGACTTAATGCCATTACCAAACCACAACAATCAATCCTACCAAACATCCAGGACATTAATGATTCA